CCTCCCTTCCCCTCCCTCTCCCCATCCCTCCCCTCCCCTTCCCCCATATTCTTGGGCTATATATGGGTTATAGCTTTCCTATGAAAGCTATAAATTAGTTTCATAGTAGGGCTGAGTACATTGGATACTTTTTCTTCCTCATGAATAAACTTTAAAAATTTTTAAAGGCCAGGCATGGTGGCTTACTCCTGTAATGCCAGCACTTGGGAGGCTGAGGCAGGAGGATTGCCTGAGCTCACAGATTCGAGACCAACCTGAGCCAAAGTGAGATCGCATCCCTAAAAATAACCAGGCGTTGTGGCAGGCGCCTCAGCTACTTGGAAGGCTAGGGCAAGAGAATCGCTTAAGCCTAGGACTTTGAAGTTGCTGTGAGCTGTGATGCCACCGCACTCTACCCAGGGTGACATAGTGAGACTCTGTCTCAAAAAAATAAAAATAAAAAATGTTTTCATGCTTATATTTTAATGCAACATAATATGCATTGCAGATATATAAAACTGTGATCTCATGGGTATGAGGTATTATTGCTTACAAAGAAACCATGTTTTAAAACAAGTGATTCAAAATAAAGAGGAATACTTAGTGAATAATAGTATAGTATGCGGGTATGGCTGAAGGTTTGAAAGATGAAAAAGCTGAAGTTTGGGTTACTTTGGCTGGTCCGTTTTGCCTTCACTCTGGGAAAATGGTTAATACCCGCTAAAGAACTGTGTAGAAATCTTGGCCATGTCATCATCAGCATGGACTGATATAGCTCTAAAGCCTTGTGGTACCCCATAAGTGTCCTACACAGGTGCTATCTTCTAAACATCTAGATACCTATGTCTAGATGCAGGCTGGGCCCAGGCTGGTACCTCATGCAGACCTACTTCTCCTGCAGTGAAACCCAGAGCCCCAGGAAACCTCACGGTTCACACCAACGTCTCTGACACGCTGCTGCTGACGTGGAGCAACCCATACCCTCCTGGGACTTTCCTGCACAGCGAACTGGCCTACATGGTCAACGTTTCAAGGGAACACAACTCCTCCGATGTGAGTTTGCACCCTTTGGGGTTTCTCTGTGACTTCTTAGAAGAGGGTGACTGGGCAGAGAGGCAGACTCTGGAGCTGCAGCCTGAGAGGCAGCCCTGGGCCTGCACAGCAAACCTCAGGAGCCAGAGCCCCAGCTTCTCCCCTGGCTGGCCCCACTCCTAGTGTGCAGGGGAGGGGCTTACTTCTGCACACTCCTCCTCATCTGTAAAGAAGGAGCTTTGGGTGGCTTCAGTTTCCCAGTGTGGGGGGACACACGTGACTTTAGGTGGCACATTGACAGCAGCACCCTTACATAACTGGAGTCCCAGAGCAAGCCAGTAAACCCTTGTCAGTTCCCCCTAGAGGCCAGCTGGTCTGGGAGGAAGTCTCGGGGGAGCTGATTTGTTTACTATTATAGTAATTCCTCTGTTACTGGAGAGAGAGGAGGCTGTGGGCTTAGAACCTTCCCAACAAGACAAGATCAGCCAGAGTTTAGTGCTCTTGTTCTGTCCTTGTTGCCCTCACTGCCATGTGATTCTCATGGCGGTGATCCTTGTTTACCACCCACAGTAGTGGTAGTGGTGCCTTGTTAAATACATATGTCAATATCTTTTTTTTTTTTTTGCAGTTTTTGGCTGGGGCTGGGTTTAAACCCACCACCTCTGGCATATGGGGCCAGCACGCTACTCCTTTGAGCCACAGGCGCCACCCCCATGTGTCAATATCTTTAAAAGGGTTGAGCTGATTTACAGGAAACTACCAAGTAAATAACAGCAGGGGCCACGCACAGATGGCTTGGCACCCTTTGTTTAGCAACCGGTTGTGGGGGCATCTCCTGTTAGCCATGTTCCCCCCAAATCTACCCTCCCATGTTACCCTTGCAGAGACAACCCCCAGATGCTGTGGGCCCCCATGTCCCACAGAGCAGAGTTCCAATACCTGCTCTGCCACTTGCCAGCTCTGTGATCTTGGGCATGTTACACAACCTCTCTGTTCCTCAGTTTCCTCATCCATAAGTATGGAGGTGACAAGAGCAGCCATCCATAGGGCTATGAGAGCAAAGAGAATGTGACGCAGATGAGCCTCCCCTTTAGGGCCCATGCGTGTCCTACACATTATCGTCCTTCTCTCCTGAGTACCCAGGCCTTGGAGATCTCCATCTGCTTTGCTGTCTCCTGCTGGTCTATAATTCATTCCTTCAGGTCTGTGAGGGCCCTGCTCTGTGCCTCCCTTATGTCTCAGGGCCCAGGCTGGCCCTGACTTAGCAGGCAAGGGCTGGCACCAACCCGTAAACTCCCTCACTGGCTTCTTTCCTTCCTTCCTCTCTTCCTGGCAAATCCAAGGAGGTATCAGTTTAACTGTCATAGGCCTGGTTTCCCCCTTGGCACTGGGCCTGGTTGTGGGGAAGGGAAGGGGCCACTGGGCTCAACAGCAGAGGCTCAGAGAGCAGTAGTGGTGGTGGGGGTGGGGTATACAGATGCTAGAGAATGGGGAAGGTGTGGTTCTGTCAATGAATCTTCCCACGTCTTGGGCCTGTGCGAGGCCGATAGAGAGTCCTGGCAACAGGCTGGAGGGGAGAGAAGGGTGCCACTGATAAGAGTCCAAAAAATGTTATTGATTTTCTTATTTCTAAGGCTGCCTAGATCAGGCATAGCTAGATCTAGGTTCAGGAATCTATCCAGCTCTTGCTCCTGCGTTATTCTGTATTGGCTTCATTTTTAGGCAGACTCTTCCCTCATATAGGGACAAATATTCAAAAAGCCATATGTCCCAAAGACATAGTGGGAAAAGGGATTTTTTTTCTCATAGGTCCAATAAAAGCCCTGGGGTGATGCTCAGTTTGGCCTGGCCTGGATCACATACTAGTCTTCAAGCCAATCATTGGCAGGGGCGGGGCGGGGGGGGACGGCAAGAGAGTGTCAGGGGATCACAGATCAATCTCTGATTGACCAGAGATGAGGTAGGAAGAGTGGCTCCCGGAAGGAAACTCTGGAGGGAGGGGATGGACCACACCCAGGGCCCCAGCATCCCCCGCCATTTACAATTTTTTTTTTTAATTAAAAGTTAAAAATAAAAAACAGGAAACTCTAGGGGAGGGGAAACAAACTGGGCCAGTTTAAATGCCCTCTGTGTTTTGCACCTGGACTAGCCATGGGATTGAATTGGTCATTGTGCCTGGGCCATGGCTTAGTGGGTATGTAGTTGGTCAGGGCTGCCCTGGGCCTCAAGATACCAGGTCTGAGGCAGAAGGGCGAAGTCCAGCTTTTGTTGGTAGGTGTAGGGGCTACTGAGACACCATACCCTCTCTCTCCCTTCCCAAGGGCAGAGATGAGCCTAAAGAATTCAGTCACTAGGGCTGGGCGCTGTGTCTCATGCCTGTAATCCCAGCACTTGGGAGGCCGAGGCAGGTGGATGGCCTGAGCTCACTGGTTCAAGACCAGCCTGACCAGCTATGAGCTAAGATGCCACGACACACTACCAAGGGTGACCAAGTGAGACTCTTGTCTCAAAAATGAAAAAAAAAAAGAGTACAGTCCTTGATGAGAACTAGTCACATGCTCCTAACCAATCCCAGGCCAGGGGATGGGATTACCCTAATCAGATTAGACCATTGAGGATTAACCCTGGAGCTGGGGATAGGTTTATCTGTCCTGAGCAGGGGGTACCCAAACCTGGGATCATAGATGCTGTGTTTAGCCATGTCTGTTACTGTACTTAGACACCAGCTGTGGCTTAGGCTGAGTCAGATAAATTCTAAGAAGAGAGAGATATGAGGAACTTGTAGAATTTTGAGGAATGCGGGCCAGGTGCAGTGGCTCAAGCCTGTAATCCTTGCACTCTGGGAATGCTTGAGGTGGATTGCTTGAGCTCAGGAGTTCAAGACCAGCCCGAGCAAGAGTGAGACCCATCTCTAAATATAGCCAGGCATTGTGGTGGGTACCTATAGTCCTGGCTGCTCAGGAAGCTGAGGCAAGAGGATCACTTGCGCTCAGGAGTTTGAGGTTGCTGTGAGCTATGATGCAACGGTACTCTACCAAGGGTGACAAAGTGAGACTCTGTCTCAAAAAAAAAAAAAAAGAAAGAATTTTGAGGATGGATACCCATTCTTCTGCATGATTTCTACACAAGGCTCCATAATGGATGGGGAGTTTTGGCCTGGGCATTGAAGGATCCATAGGAGTTTTCTAGACAGGAAAGGAAGGTAAAAGTAGGCTAGGTGGAGAGAACTGCATGAGAAAGGTTTGGAGGTTGAAAATTCATGGAATATTTGAAAATTGTGGGGATGTGGAAAAATGTTCAGTGTAAAAGCAGAAAATGAAGCCGTAAGTCTGTTTAGAGCCATGAATACCACCATGTTCGTGACAGTAATGGTAATCGTTTCTTGTATGCCTGTTGTGTGCCAGGCACAACACATATGGTCACCAGTTATTGGGAAAGGTCTACAGGGAGGAAGGTGTATTTGATCTCTCTGTTTTAGAGATGAGGAAACAGAGACTTAAAGAGGTGAAGTGACTTGCCCAGGGTCACATAGCTGGAAATTGCAGAGCTGGGATTTGAATTCCAGAGCCTGAGCTATTTTTCTTCCCCAGGATATTTCTTTCAGAGATGGTCTCCTGAACATCTGACCTTCTTATTAAAAAAAAAAAAAAACCACCAAAGGAAAAAAAAACCACCACAGCTTGGCGCCTGTGGCTAAAGTGGCTAAGGCGCCAGCCACATACACCTGAGCTGGAGGGTTCGAATCCAGCCTGGGCCCACCAAACAACAATGACGACTGTAACCAAAAAATAGCTGGGTGTTGTGGCAGGTGCCCGTAGTCCCAGCTACTTGGGAGGTGGAGGCAGGAAAATCTCTTGAGCCCAGGAGTTGGAGGTTGCTGTGAGCTGTGATGCTGCAGCACTCTACCCAGGGCGACAGCTTGAGGCTCTGTCTCAAAAAAACAAACAAAAAAACCCACCACAAGTAGTTCCTTGGAAGCTCTGATTTCTTTTGTTGCCTACTAAAACATTTCCCAATTCCCAGCCCCCTTCCAAGATGTAGGATTCTTTTGCTAACACGCATCTATCTGCTGCTTCTTAGTATCTTTAGAAAGACGAAAGGGAGTGGAATGTTTTCTCCCTTCCTTGCCTTACCCCCCAACCCTCAGCTACCCTCAGCCCTACTGTAATGGGAGAGCTCCCAGCTCCCCCCAGCATCTCCAGCTGTCTACTGGGGCTTTGCTTCTTTCCTGTGAAAAACCTCCCCTTGGCTCAATTTGCACCAAACCATGTCCACAAATACTCCTCCAATCCACAGTGAGGGTGTGGGAGCTGGGAAGACTCTGCAGGGAGAGGAGTGACAGGCCAAGAACTCAGGTCACTCGCTTTCTGCCAGAATCCATCACAAACACAGCTTTCATTTCATTTTTCATTTGTAAAGCCTTTTTTTGGTAAAAGTAATATTTACATGAAGTAAAAATTTGAATAGAAATATGTTTCTTTCACAACCCCAACCTCCAGGTCCTCTTCCCAGAGAGTGACCCCTGTTGCCTGTCTCTTGCCAGGAGGGAGAGGATGGCAAGGTTTGGGCAGGCAGTGGGCGTGGAGGCATGTGCATCCTTCCAGAGAGAGCTTATGTCTGTCCAAGCAAACGTGTGTGTGTGCGTTCATTCATCACTGTCTTAGTTTTCTATTGCTGCGTGATAACATTACCGCCGACTTCACAGCTTCAAACAACACCCATTTGTTATCTCACAGTTTGGGGGGATTAGGTGTCTCGCATAGTTTAGCTGGGTCCTCTGTTTCAGTGTCTCACAGGCTATCCTTGAGGTATGAGCTGGGGCTGCGGTTTCATCTGAGGCTCACTTCCAGCCATAGGTACTGGAGCATTCAGCTCTTTGCAAGCTATTGGACTGAGAGCCTCTTAGCTTCTTGCTGCTGGTTTTAGGCCACCTTGAGTTCCTTCCCTTACGGCTTTCTCAAAGCCATCAAGGTAGAGAGAGTGGCCTAGCAAGCAGGATATTACAGTCTCATGTCATGTAATCCCATGCATGCAGTCTCCAAGTATTCCATCACCTTTGCCATTCTCTAATGGGTCCAACTCACACTCAAGAGGACTCAGCCACAGTGGGCTTTATGTGGGCCATCTTAGAGTTTGTCTGTGATGGATGACCACTACTCCTTCTTTTTAAAAAAAAAAATGTAAAAGGAAGCAGAAAATATAAACTAATCTACATTTTACCCTGTTTATTTAACAATAGATCCTAGAGGTCACTTGCCATTGGGAACTAGACTGGGCAGAGCCTTAGATTCTAGGCCAGTGAGTTTGGGCTTGACCATGGAGATGCCAGGGAGTCCACAGAAGATAGACAGGGAGGCAGTGACCCTATTAGTGCTTCAGAAAGATCACCTCATGCTTCGTGTGTACTTGTGTATACCCGTTCCAAGTGTATACTTGTGTTAACCCGTTTCATCCTCACCACAGCCTTCCATGTTGGCACTTTTACTAATATTACCCCCAATTCACAGAAGAGAACTTTGAGGTCCAGAGGGATTGTATCATTTATTTAAGATCACACAGCCAGTTGGCGCCAAGCATGGTGGCACAAGCCTATAATCCCAGCTACTCAGGAGGCTGAAGACGGAGGATTGTTTGAGCCCAGAAGTTCAAATCTAGCCCAGGCAACATAGTGAGACTCTAAAAGAAACAAAACAAAACAAGATCACTCTCCCAGAATGTGGTAGTAACATATTTTACGCTCACTTATAGATGAGGAAACTAAAACTCAGAAAGGTTAATCAACTTGCCTGAGTAGTGTAATAATGGCCAATTAGCACAGGAACTGCTGCCCTCACCCATCTCACTCTGTCTGATCCCAGTTGCAGAGGGGCCAGCAATGGAACACACAGGCTGGTGGCTCTTAAAAGTTGCAGGGTTGGCTCCGCGCCTGTGGCTCAAGCCGCTAAGGCGCCAGCCACATACACCTAAGGTGGCAGGTTCGAATCCCCAGCCCGGGCCCGCCAAACAAC